AAAAAAAAGATGCGTCAACATTAAAATTCCGCGTTGACAATTTTTTTTTATAATCGACTTAATCAGTTATGTCGACTAATCATTGCAGCACTAGAACAGGGCAGCATAGTAGTGGACATGTTAGACAATTCAGCATCTGAAGAGACATATTTCTCGTACAAAATACAATATTAATATACAATATTTAACACATTTCTTGTTAGAGTCCTGAAGTTGAAGTGACCAAAAAAAAAAAACAAAACAAAAAAATAAAAAACCCACAACTGATCAAGCAGCAGCTCAGAAGGGCACAAAGTGACGTTCCACATGAATAACAATGACTGATGAGACATCAGGCAGTGTGAAACGCAGTGGACAGTCCATTTGTCTTCCTATTGCAGTATCAGAATACAAAAACAAACGGGGGCGTACACAGTGTTGGTATTAATGATAGTATTAATGGTTTGTAGTGGTCTTCCTGCACAGCACAAGGCACGGAGCGCTCCTCTGAGTGTGCTCGACGGCGTGATGAACTGTTTAAAAGACAGGCATGTCACTCTGCTAACGATTTATGATCTATAATTCTGTGTTGATCATATAAATGTAGGTCCACACAGCAATAAATAACTTCATTTGTGTCTGAACAGCAGTATTTCTGTGAAACTCATCCTCCCGTTGCATTTGATCAATGAATCTTTCCACAATCAGATTAGATTAGCTCTAATGAAAACACCAGTTTTGTGGAAATTATTAAAAGGTGTTTGAATGGGAGCGCAGCTGCACAGCCGACACAAAATAACCGAGTAAAGAAATTGTGAGTTAAGAGAAACGAGTAATGGGAGGGGAAAAAAGCTAATACAGCTTTATGTGTTGCAGAGGGCCATTATTTCCTGCAGAGTACATTTCTAAACAGAGCCTACAGTAGGTAATGGTAGTCAGTCACTGTTTGGTCTTTAGCTCATTGTTTTCTCCATGTGAAAAGTGAAAGGAGCCAACAAGGTGGCTCATAAATTCACCCTGACGCAGCCATGCAGCTGCTTTATTGGCCCTCAGTGCTGTGGTTCGACGAACAGGCTACATTTTATTTCTGCAGTGTGAAGAGTCAGTGCTTTCCTTACACTGCAGTCCATATCAAACTGGACTTATAGAGTTTGATGGCTCAGAATGTGGAATCAAATGTGCATACCAGTAAATTTATGGTGACCTTTACAAAAGTTCACAACGTTTGTTCACAATATAAACTTTTTGTAGCAGAGATAATCCAAATTTTCAAATGTTTTAGTTCTGTTAACACTTTTATTTATTGCTCAATACACTTCTAACTTTGTAAAAATCATATTAGGACAAAATCTTTGTTTTTAAGTATTGTTCCTCATCATGGAGCAAAGTGGAGAATTGGAAATACCCTCTGTCCATCCATCCAAATTGCAAGTTGAATAATTTGAAAAATAAGTTTGGTACCAACTTCAATTTTGGTATGTGGCTGCATCTAGGCATAAAAAGGGTCTCTATTGGAAAATGGGTTCCCAAGTCAAATCCAAGATATATAATCTTACCACAAAAAAGTACGTAAATTGCGTTTAGTGGATTATTTCTTTGTAACAATGCTTTTTGGCAATAAATCTTATACCAGGCACCTGTTTGGCAGCACCTGGAGGTACCAGAAGCTCGAAACAAGTGTCAACAACAACAACAAAAACAGTTTGACAGAGAAGATTTGGGAAGTATTTCATGTGATCAACCCACATGCTCAGCTCCACTGCTCATCCCCCAGATGCATGTTCCTTACAAATGTGGCACCATTTAAAAGGGAAATTAACAGAATTTCCAGTGGAATGAGATTTATTGCCAAAAAGTATTATTACAACAAAGAAATACTCTACCAAACACAAATCTTACCCCCCCCCCCCCTACACACACACATTGGGGTGGCTGAAGATTATCCTATGGTAGCCATGGCCAGCACTGATCACTCTGCAGGCTCTGCCGTTGCACCTGGTGGTGGATAAAATTGCTTCCTCCAGTCGCAAGTGTCTGTCACTCTGCACTGCCTCGAACAGGCAAAAAAAAAGGAAAAAAAAATATATCTGTTCTTTTACACAGTGTAACTCTCACCCACTTGAATATTTTGCACCAAAAGCATTAACATGCATTCACTGTTCAACTCCACTCCAGAGAAACGGTCACAAAAACTACAAACATTCACCATTTAAATCCCTCAGCAGTCGAGGACATGGCCATATCATTTGTGTTTACCTGTTATTTTATGTCATGGCAGACATTTGGGGTAGGAATGTGAAAATTAATTTATTGATTCACTGATGGGCACAGTGGGAATAAATTATAAGAGGTTTGTTTAGATTTTGGACAGATAGAATCTCATTTGTTTATAAGCAGGTTTGTTTCTACTGACATCAAATTTAGTGGGGAAAAAAGGCATAAACGTTTAACTGTATTTACATTGTGTTTGCAGAACAAACCTACAAGTATTTGTTTTAGTAGATGACTTCTTCTGATGCCAACTTTTGGCTTTTCAGCAGAGTTGGTGTCTTATTCCTAACACTTTCTGTTCAGGGAGAGAAATGCCTCAGTGGCTGGTATGACCAGCAACAAACACTAAAAGTGTACTTCATCCCGATCATTTGAATCAAGTACACAGTACTCAGAGGGTCAATGTTTAGAATATAGAAAGTGTATTTTGCCTGTGTTAAACACATATTCTGCCTGGTATTTTTACATTTTTCACTATCCCTCCTTTTTTTCAGAAATTTGTGAGTTTGGTTTCGTACAAGTGTATTTTTTAATATCTTGCTCTTATTGGTGCTTATTGATCCGGTATTTTAACTGTCCTCTTTTCGATGCTTTTCTGTGGGAACAAGATGGAACTCAACGCCAAATGTTTGTGTCCCCCGTCACAGACAGACAGAGCATTTCTGTGTCCTTTGCCTCAACAACAGGGGACAATGAAACCAAAAACAAACAATGTGGAATATACACTAAAGCCATTTAATTATTTTTTTCACACATGTAATTTTAATTTGCATGTTAAATTTTTTATTGTTTTATGCAAAGCGAGTTGGATGTTTTCATGACAGTCTGAATGTAACAAATCCAATATTTTTTTTCTCCAAATCTGACCCAATTCTTTTCAGTATGTGGTACTGAATCAGATACATATCTGATGTTTTTTAAAGTGACCTCAGTCTGAACGCACGTCATCTGACTTACATCAATTAGGTGGGAGTGCCTAATAGGGCTGCACCAAAAAAATCGTTTTGAATCGGAATCGTGATTCTCATTTACAAAGATTCAAAATCAATTTAAAATTTCCCAAAATTGATTTTTAAAAATAAATAAATAAATAAATAAATAAACAAAACCAAAGGTTGTCAACCTCCATTTTGTAATTACTTGGGACGTTCTGACGTCACATGGAGCTGGTTCTGGAGTGTTCAGAAAGCACCAAAAACAAAACTGGAGGAAAGAAATTCATCTGACCCTGTGTCTTCATTGAATGCAAAGATTTGGGTTCATTTTGTTTTTTACTGAACAAGTCTGAGTTTGACATGAGCTTCACTGTGTGCAACATTTGCAAAATGAAGCACTTTAGGAACACGACAAGTGAACTCACATTGAGTTTTGAATGAAAAAAAAATAGATTTTGAATCGAATTGTGTGTTAGTAAAAGATTCCCACCCCTAGTGACTAACCTCAAGTCATGCTGTTTAAAAGTTGTTGCTCCATGTCTTCAGCTACAGAACAGAAGTTCATTTGCTTCGTGTTGTTTATTTAAATGTTCCATGTCCTGGATGACTGATAATCCACAGAAACGTATGGTGGTAACGTTGTTGCAGACTGCATCGGTGCTAAAGTTACTTCACTACTTTTCTTTTAAATTCAGTTCAGTTTCACTTCAGTTTATTTATATAGCGCCAAGTCACAACATACTTTGTCTCAGGGCACTGTACATGAAAAAAGAACAATCTAAAGAAGAAGCCAGCAGATTGTGTTGAATCACTTCATCACAGTCTCCCAGCACTTTTAACATGTTGCTTCGTTCCAAAGATAAAATGCTTCACCAGAGCATTCTGTTTTAGGCAGGTTCAGATACAAACACTGAATGAAACAAACATGTCAGATAATTATTTAATCTGCTCTGATTGAACAACAGAAACAACATGCTAACATGTAGCATCCATGTTATCTACTTCTGTAAACACTGTGCTGAATGTGATGTCATGTCTTTTTCTGCACAAATGGGTCACATCAGCTGGTACGCTGTGTTGTTCGCAGCCCCTCCCCTTCATGCTGAGTCTGACAGAATATGAGAAGCAGGCTGTGAGAGGCCAGAGAGGAAAATAGAGCTTTTTTTTCAAACAACGCAGCATGCGCCGTGTCCACGATTGTCATGTCAGTGCCATTAACGATATCGTGAAGGTTGGAGCTTATTGGTCCAGTCAAAATTAATCACGTGGCGCTGGTACTGAAAAAACACCGGGCTTTGGTACCCATCCCTACTGATGGTTCACTGTTGTCCTGATTATTCAGTTGAGTTAGTTTCATGCTCGCTTAATGAGAATCACTTGAAATTGTATTTTGAAGAAGCAAAATTGGCCACATTTACAATTCAGCAAATTATTATGATAAGCAGTATTAGAGAAACTAGTGAGTTAGTCATGGTAATGGTCGTATCATTTATTCAGCACAAAATACCGCAAAAGCAAATCACTGCTTGTAAGAACAAGACACCAAGAGCACAAACGTTGCATTTTTAGAGAAAGTGTTGTGACACACAGGTTTAAATCTGTTAATGTCAGTCCAGAGTTGTAGCAGGAACATAAAGTTTAGCAGGTGATGGATCAGAAGGGAAACACCTTTCCGTGGCAGGAAGCAGTGTAAAGCTGCTGAATCCAGTCCTGGTGGTTATTGAGGTATTTTATGAAGCTGCAGTAATGATACGCTGCAGCATTTCACTTCTTTAACAAAATCATTGAACTTTCTTTTTTTTTTTTAAATTTCAGGTTGGAGTGTGACCCCTGCAGAATGGTCAGGTACGTCTAGCTTCTTTATTAATATCTTCTTTCTTTCTAATGTGCTGCACTACACTTCTAAAGCCTTTTAGCCTAAATAAACTTTCAAGTTTTATATGGACTCCACAGCAGGCTGATGTATGTGGTGTTGTTACAGATACTGGCACTAGTGTCGGCTGCTGCTTGGAAATAACACTGTGGAAAGAAAATGATGAGGGTTTTTAAATCAAGGTTGCATTCCAGTGTTTTTAGTTTAGGCAGCGGGAGCTTGTAGCAGCGCCTGTGCCGACACAGTTAGTCTTTAAAGCTGTAATGCGAATCCATCTGCCATTTGCTGTGAGCACAGCTGAGGAATATGGACCACATTCAGAGCAAAGATGGACTTCTCCCACTGGTAAACACTCTCCTTATCTGCAGTTCTTCACCTCAGGAATCCAAACTGCCTCTGCAGCTGGAGTGGCGTGTGCTCGCAAACACACGGCCGGTGTAAAAGTGCAGCGGAGGTCTGCTTTATGTTTTAATGGAACATTTCCTGGTCAAGTCTCGTCCTTTTGTTGGGTGATTTACTGGCTGTGCTGCAGTTTTCTCCTTCTCAGAAAGTCTCATTACAAATGTGGTGGTTGTGTGTCGTTGGCAGGGATGCTGCTGATTGGCATTTTAATCTTTGGCCTCATACCAGAGGAGGGAGCGGGAGGGGAAAAAGAAGCACAGCATTGAAGTGAAAATGAAAAATGTTGGTTTGGGATAAAATTAGATTAGTTACAAAATAATAATTTTTCGTAGTGTGGAGAAAATATTCAGTTCTTATGAAATTTTCAGTTTTTCCCTTTTTAAATAATAACAATAG